AGGGTCCAGGACCCCAGCCCAGCACACTGGGGACCTATAGGCAAGGGTCCAGGACCCCAGCCCAGCACACTGGGGACCTATAGGCAAGGGTTCAGAGGCTGGGGGCTGCCTGGGGTTGCATCTGGGCAGCAGCCTTCACCCCACCTCTGTCCCCAGCTGGCACCTCAAAGCCATACTCTACTCCCAGGCTGAGCAGTTGCGGGCACGGCTGGACATGGCCCAAGAAGAGCTGGTTACACTGCGCTGGGAGCTGCAGAATGTCAAAGAGAGCAGAGAGGCAGTGCGCAGGGAAGCCCTGGAGGCCCACCGGGCGCTGGGTGATGCGGCTCGAGAGAAGGGCATGCTGCAGATGTCCAACACAAAGCTGCATGCTGCCGTGCGCACAGCTCAACAGGAGAAGGCCAGGTAGGACTGACCCCCAGCCGCCACTGAGAATGGCACAGCAGAGTCCGCAGGCCGCAGTCCACTGCTACTGAAGCGAGCCCTGTAGACCCAAACGTCCATGTCAGCTGTACCTCTGCAGGGTCCCACAGTCTGGTCACTTGTGAGGTAGCAAGCACACCAACGGTCTCCCCAGACACAAGTGAGGGGTAGCAGAGCAAGGCCAGCAGTGTTGCCTCATGAAGGCTGCCCCTGAGGGTGGGAGGTGGGAAGGGTGGGGGCAGGGGAAGGGCTGGACATGTGGCCTAGGAGAGAGTAAGTAGGTGGTCTTTAAGGCAGAAGGGGTAGGGTCTGGGCCCTGGACAGCAGTGTATCCTGATATCACTGGGTGGGGGTTCTCCAGAGCACAGGGTTCCGGCACGTGGCAAGACAAAGCCAGGGCATTTCACGGGGCAGGTGAGGCCGCCACACCATAGGGGAGGCTCGAGTCTAGGATTCCCTGGCTCCAGCCCTGGCACCTCTACAGTCTTAAGCGCTCCAAGGAGGAAAACAAGCAGAAGGTGCTGGTCCTGGAAGAGGCACTTACAGCAACTCAGAAGGAGGTGGGCGAGCTCCAGGCCAGGCTGCGAGAGGTGGAAGAAGCCAGGGTGGCTGCCAGCCGAGGGCTCCAGGAGCTTCACACGCAGGTGAAGAGGGGCAGCCCATCTCCACCCTCAACTATTAGACCCTGCTTGGGCACCGGGACTACCGAGTGGAGGCCCAGGTGCCTCTCTGCTTTCGAGTGTTCTGTCTTAAGACAAAAGGAGCACTGGTGATGGTGTAAATGAACTGTCAGGCTGTTAACCCAAAGGTCGGTAGTTCAAATCTAACAGCCACTGTGTGGGGAAAAAAATGAGGCATTTTCGTGTGAAGGTTTACAGCCTCAGAACTCTGATAGAGGGTTGTCAAGTCAGATCTCCTCAAGCCAAGTTGACAGAAGGGGGCTTGGTTTGGGTTTTGGTCCCCAGACAGGCCTGCCCCAAGGCCACAGAAGCCAAGACCAAGGAGGGAACAGCCAGCATGTGCACAGACACATGAGAGAAGCATGACCTTGCTCTGTTCACTGTGACTGCACCACAAGTTTGCCCCAAAACCAGTGGTTCGGAAACACCGTTTTACTGCACACATTTTTGTGGGTCAGGAATTCAGGCAGGGCTCTGAGGGACATTGTACGTATGGACTTCTCTGCAAAGATCCTAAGTTGGGGGACTGGATGGCTAAGAGTGGAGTTCATCTGGAACATGTCCTCTCATGTGTCTGGTGGTCATGCTGTGGGTCAGTTGGAAGCTCTGGGACCATCCACATATTCTCTAGGTGATCTGTGCCTCCTCCCAGCATGCACCTCAGGGTCATTGGGCCTCCTCCCGGCATGCACCTGGAGGGGGTCGTTGGGCCTCCTCCCAGCTTGCACCTGGGGGGAGGTCATTGGGCCTCCTCCCAGGGCAGCCGTCTCAGAACCGTTCACTGGGTCTCCCAGCTGTAGAGTCCCAGGCCTCACACTCAGATGTCCCTTGAACAAGGCAGTGTTGATTCATCTTCCCCAACATAGCTTTGGGAGCCTTAGGTGACTTACACTTCCTTCAATGGACTAAAGGATTCAAGGAGGGGCACAGATCCCACTTCTGTATGGGATACATGTCAAAAGAATTTGCAAGTGAGATTTTAAACTTCTTTTGATGAATTGGTTATAAGAATGTCCACAGCTTTAGGATGATTACACTTTATCTCAGTGTGATGGGTCAAGCCACACACTAAGGTAATCCATCGAACTAGAGGAGCTCGGGTCATTTCCATCTCATCCCGCGACCCCAGGATTTAAGGAGGGATGTAAACGCCTCCTCTCATGCGTTAAAAGACTGTCATCATGCTTTTCCAACTTCCTTGGATGACTGGGTTAAGACCAGGAGCAGTTGGTAGGACCCTTCTCCTGCACTGGGGGTCTTGCCTGTGCTGCTCTCATTTGAAGGACCCCTGGTAGTACCGGAGGTGAAGTGCTTGGCTGCTAACTGGAAGATCAGTGGTTTGAACTCACTGCTCCAAAAGGGAAAGATGTGGCAGTCTGTTCTTGTAAAGTCACAGCTCCGTGAACCTGCAGGCAGTGAGTCGGTGACGGTGGACGTTCTTACTGAATCTGTGCAGTGATCACATTAAGGGGCTCTGCTCCTCATTTCCCAGATGAGGAAACTGAGGCACAGGCAGGTTAAGTGATCTGCCAGTGTCACACCGCATGTGGGCACTGGAACCCAGAGCCCGTGCCTCCTCTGTTCCTCACTCCTAGGCGGTACTCCAACCCCGCTGGCCCCGGCACTGCCCCACAGGTCATCCACCTCCCCCTCTCTGCCCAGGAGCACTTGGTGTCACTGGGTCCACAGACTCCCCAGTGTCGTGGCCCCATTGGAGTAGAGGAGGGTGTTTGTGGCGTGAACCAGCATGTCGGCTTCAGAGGCACTGGTTATGTGAAGTCCCAGAATTGACCATGAGAAGGGGGCTCACAATGACCCCTGTGCCCAGAGCAGAAGCAGGGTCCTGGGAGGGAACTTGGTCCACCCACCTCCTGACCCACACTTGTAGGTGAAGGTCCTGGAGGCTGAGGCCCAGAGGAAGGGCCAGGATGCTGCCCAAGATGCACAGCGGAGGCAGCAGGGCCAGCAGGAGGTGCTGGAGTTGCAGAGGAAGGTGGCTGGACTGGAGGCGGCCAGCAAGGCAGCCAGAAAGGAGGTGGGTGAGGGCCCAGCCCTCAGAAGAGCCCCAATGGCAAGGCCTGGAGAGACAGGGCAGTAAGGTCCAGGCTACCCATCCTTCTGCACACAGTCTCAGGAGCACTGCTCCCTGTGGCCCGCACATGCCAGGACAGAACAATGACCAGCAGCTGAAGTGGCCGTCACCTTCCCAGGGCTCAGTATTGCAACAGAAATGAATCCTACTCACCACGCCAGGTGGGAGGTACAGGCCTGCCCAGATGCAGTCCCCTTCTCCCCTCACCATGCCTGCAAGCGCCCATACTCTACATTTGCAGCTATGTCCCAGGCCCATACGTGCATGCTCATGGCCCCCACACCAGCTCTTGAGGCTCACTGGACAATGCCAGCCCAGCCCTCCCTTCCTTTGGCTGACAGGCTGTGGCGTGGGGCCAGGCAGGTGTTGGAGGTCTTGGGGTACCCTCTCCTGACAGAGTTCAGGCATCCCCTGCGAGATATATGCTGGACAGGTCCAGAGTCACTGGCTGTGGCCTGCAAGGACAGTGGTGGATCAGGCAAGGCCAATAGCCTCGGTGAGGGTAGGGCTAGGACAGTAGCCTCAAGGTCTCCTTTCAGCCTGCTGGACATGCATCATCCAGGTGGCACCTTCTCTGAGCCCCTCATTCCTCCTGCAGGTTCTGGGGCTTCAGCAGAAGCTGACTGAGGCAGAAGCCACCCATGAGGCCCAGGCAAAGCAGCTTGGGACACAGGTCCAGGAGAGCCTGGCAGCTGAGCAGGCCCTGCGGGCCGAGGTGCGGAGAGCTGCCCAGAAGCTGCAGCAGGCGAACAGTACAGCCCAGGGGCTGCAGGCGCGCCTGGACGGAGCGGGTAGCCGGATCCGAGACCTGGAGCAGGAGCTGATCCAGTCAGAGGACGGGAGGCGGGAGGCAGAGACCCAGCTGGACCGACTGTGTTCCACACTGCGCCGAGGCCTGGGGCTTAGGGGGCGCAGCCCCTCAGTCTCCCCCGAGCGGCCCAGCTCCCCCACCAAAGGTCTGTGGCTTCCTCCAGCTTTAGGCTTGCCACCCCCTGCTCTCCCCTCTCCCTCCCTAAGTCCCAATCCCAAGTGGCTCCAGACGGGACAGGAGAGAGGATGACTGCATGCCTGTCCCTGTGTCTTCATCTGTGTACATTCTCCATGTCCCTGCAGGCTTGAACAGCTCACCAGCTCGTACTAGCCCCATTGCCAGATCCTGCTTGCTGCATCAATGGCCTCTACGTGGTCCTGGGGACAGCAACCTGGAGGTCCTAGATGTGCCCCGTGTCCGGGACGCACTCAGAGACTTTGTGCAGAAACTGTGGGACACCCAGAGAGAAAGGGTGAGCACCCTCCCCCGGGCCTTCCCCACACGTGCGAGACAGGAAGGGCACATGGGCTCCCCAGACTCCGGCCCCTGCTGTCATCTGTCCCATACTTGCTGACATCTGGCAGGCCTTAGGCCACAATGCTGAGGTTGCCCCTGTGGGAATAGATAAATGCCCCCTAGACTAGGCAAGGAAGACCCTCAGCCCCTTTTATCCCCAGTGCTTCCCACCCTCCCCAAGTCCAAACTGCCTGGCATCTGGATGCCTTAAGCCTTCTCTGCAGCCACAGCAACCCCCCACCAGCCTCCCCTAATGGCCCCTGGGCACCACTCACCCTCATGGTCCCTGAGGAGCTCAATCCCACCTGTCCTCATAGCCCCCAGGCACCTCTATTCTACCCATACTCATGACCCCCAAGCACCACCCACTTGCCCTCATGGCCCCCAGATGCCCTCACCCCACCTCCACCTGCCCTCATGGCACCAAGCTAGACCGAGCTCCTGGGATAGACCTCCTGATCTACCCCCACTTGCCCCATCCACCTGATGTCATACAACTCGGTCACTCTACGAGGGGCCCAGATGACTGCCCCCCGACCTATTGCTGAGCTCTGCAGGCTGCCTGTGATCTGGGCCTCTCCCTCCTTAGGACGAAGCACGCTGCCAGGCCATGAGTCTGAGGGGCCAGCTCAGGGAGGCAGAGAGTGCCCTGGCCCGAGCCCAGACCCGTGCTGCACAGCTGCAGAAGGTGCTGGCTGAAGCCAAGGAAGGTGACGCCACTGTCCCCAGACCACCCTGGGGGGCGGCTGTGGGTACCTCCACTCAGGGTAGCTGAGTATGGGAAACTGCCAGCAGGACCCCACCCAGGATGCTGCTGTCCATCACGTTGTTGTTGTTGTTGTTGTTGTTGTTGTGTGCCATCAAGTTGCCTGCGACTCATAGCAACCCTGTGTGCAACAGCTCTGAAGCCTGCCCTGTCCTGAGCCAGTCTCACTGACTCTGACACACCTACCACCACTGCCCCAGTCACTGTTTCAATCCATCTCATCCGGGGCCTTTCTCTCCTGCGCTGTCCCTCTGCCCTTCCAGGCATGATGTCCTTCTCTAAGGACTGGTCCCTCCTGGCCACATGCACAAAAGTATGTGAGAAAGAGCTTCAAAATATTAGCCTCCAAGGAGAAACTTGGTTTCACCGTCTCCAAGACAGACTTATTTGTTTTCTTGGTGATCCATGGTGTGTTCAAGTCTCTTCTCTAGCACCACAACTCAAAGGCATCAATCCTTCTTCTGTCATCCTTGGTCATTTTCCACCTCTCTGATGCATAGCAAGCATTTTGAAGATCTTGGCCTGTATCAGGTGCATCTTAGTCTCTAGACTGACATCGTTGCTTCTCAGTACTCAGGAGAGGTCCCTGACAGCAGATTTTCCCAATGCAATTCGTCTTTTGACTTCCTGACTGCTAGTGCCAAGAGTGTTGATTGTGGGGCCAAGTGAGCTGTGATTGTTAATAACCTCAATCTCTTCTCCATCGTCATGCCCATCACACTGGAGACCCTAAGAGTCTATGAGTCCAGTGTCTGCTCTTGTCCCTTGAAACCACAGTGACCAGAGCCTCCCCTTGCACTGATGGCAGAGGAACCGTCCAAAACCCCACACATATTCTTCTCCTGGCCCAGCACTGCCCAGCAGCACCAGCTACATCAGCTCCTGTGTTTACTGCCCTTCTGTGAGAGTCAACCCAGGAGAGCCTGGGCCAGGCTCTGTGGAAAGAAAAAGGCAGGGCAGGGGCCAGCAGGCAGTGGGCAGCTTGTGGGGAGGGAGACCATGGTGCCCAGGCCAGCCCCTCAGCCAGCCCCAAAAAGTTCATGAACTGACCCTTATGCTCACTGAGTGTCAGTATGTCCACCTGTGAAATGGGCAGGGCCCCTTGCACAGCATTCCCCCCACTGACTGCTGGGACTCAGCAGACTCCTGAGCTATCCCGTCTCGGACAGGCCAACGCCAGGCGGAGAGCAAGGTGAGCAGCATGAGGGCAGCTCAGGCCATGCGGGAGGAAGCTGCTCGGAAGTTGGAGGCTGAGCACCTGGCAAGGGCATGGGCAGCAGACCAGGAGAGAGGCCACCTCCAGGTAGGTCCAGTGAGGGCCAGCAAAGGGGGTACGGTCCCTAGACCAAGGGTGTCCCCAGACACCAGCTCCTGTCTCCCACGACAGAGTTATCCTCTACAGATCAAGGAAGCCAGTGTCCCTGACGGCATAGCCAGTGGGAAGGTGGAGCTGGGCCAGACCCGGAAATCTGGCCTCCAGACCTGCCCTTCTTCCGTGGCCCCTTAGTGCTGCAGTGAGCCCCGCCTGGTCTCAGGGGCTCTCAGTGGGCTCCTGACGGGGCTGCTGGGGGCCCTCAGAAGGGTGATCTCGAAAGAACTCAGGGATACCCAGCTCCGAGTAACAGAGGAAAAGCTGTGCTTCAGGAGCAGAACCCAGAGAGGGCGGAGCAGTCGGCTGGGTGCACAGGTTGAGGTGTTCAAGCCAGAGCTCCACCCACACAGCCCAGGAGGAGGCCTGGTTCCAGAGAGCAGTGACCCAGCGGGTGCTGAGGCCCCCTGGGGGGCTATTCAGGGAGCTCCCCACAGAGCTCAGAAGATGGAGAAGGGTCAATCCTGAGAGGCAGCCATCCTAGGAATCTGGGTAGTAAGGCCAGTATGCTCCTCCCCTTCACAGATGACACAGAGAGTGACCAAGGAACATAGAGCGTGGGGCACAGCAGGGAGGTTCCAGTCCCGGGATGCTAGACTGCCAGAGTGATGGCCTTTGGGTGTACAGATGACGGGGCAGGGCATCCCCAGATCCTGGCCTAAGTCTGTGAGGAGGCCAGGGAGGCTGTCACTTCTACCAGGAGAGAGGGCAGACCCCAGTGGGTGAGGAGAGAGAGAGAGTAGTCCACCAGTGAGGTGAGGAGAGAGAGGTCAGACCCCCAGTGGGAGAGGGCAGAGCCCAGTAGAATGAGAGAGAACATGCCCCCAGCAGGATGGGGATGGGGAAAGAGAGGGCAGACCCTCCAGCAAAGTGGGAAAAGAGAAGGCAGGCCCCCAGCGGGATGGAGAGTGAGAGGACAGCAGGCCCCCAGGGTGATGAGAAAAGAGAGGGCAGGCCCCAGCTGGACGGAGAGAGAGGGGGAAGGTCTCAGAGGGATAGGGCTTCCGAGGAGGCACATTGCAGCATGTGAGGGCCAATCTGGGAAAGGAGGCTTACAGGAGAAGGAAGGTTTTATACTGCCCTTGGAGAGGGTGTGGAGGGGCCAGCACAGAGTCCAGGCAGTCTGGCTGGGGTGGAAGCAGATGCTGGGCTGTGCTCAGTTGCACTATGAAGCAGGGCATCCGAGAGCCCAGGGGACTTAACAGCTGGAACTGGGCACTCTGGAGGCAGGTGAGGGGCCTGGCAGGAACCAAAGAGGGTTGGGGCTGACGCAGGCCATCAAGAGAGGAAGGACCTCTGTCCTGCTGCTCCCCCCACCTGTAACATCGACCACCTACCCACCTGGAAAGGGAGAGAAAGTGAGTTTACATCCTCTCCACAAACAGGAGGGAGAGAGCATCTGGCCTCAGTGTCCCGTCCAGAAAACACTGGTGGCACAAGGTTAAGGACCCATCTGCCAGGTGTGAGGTCCCGTCACACTGACCACGCATCACAGTGAGCCTGTGAGCCGCCGGCCGGCACCCTGCCCTGCCCTGCGTCACCCATTCTCTGCCCCACGTTGCAAGCTCTGTGTTAACCCGTCTTGTTGAGGGGTTTCCACCTGAACCTCACTCCTGGCCACCTGCTACCTGTGATCCTGTGTGGCTTGACTATTGGAAACGCGGAATGCCTCCCTGCTGTTACTGGGCACCTTCGAGGTCCATTGACCATTCATTTGCAAGTGGTGTCACAGGGATGAGTTCAGCTCCAGGTTCAAAGGGCAGTGGTCTTGGGGTTCCACCAGTCCTCTGTCCTTTTCTTCTGGGCTCAGTAATGTCCCAGCACTGCTCCCTTGCTCTGTTCTCCCTTGAGTGCCCTCCCCAAGTTCTAGGAGGTGTCCTGATAGGATGTCCCTGCTGGGCCTGGCCTGCCCCCTCCCTTTCTCCTTGGTTCCTGTGGCCTGAGCTCCAGGGGACACCCGGGCAGAGCGCTTCTTGACTCAGAGAGGAAAAACAGCTAGCATCTCTCAGCTGTGCTATCTCTGCTGTTACATCACAGAACCCTCAGAGCGAATTCCTCGGTCTCTTTGTTCTTTTGAACCCCAGAGAATGCTGCTTGTCCAGCGATTTCCCCTTGCATGACTTTGAAGAAAGAAGTGTGTTCTCCTCCTTCAAAGTAGGCGTGGAGAGGACCCCTCAGAGACTTCCTGTGTTCTTGTCCAAGTCTGCTGGGCCACAGTGGGCAGCAGTGGGGCAATGTCAGGACACAGTGGAGAGCCTGCAGTGGAAACACCATGGCCCCAGCATGTCTCTGCCCCTGTTCAGGATCTCCTAGTGCCTTCCTGTGCTTACAGAAGCAAACCCTGATTTCCCACCATCATGATTCTCACAGCACAGAGGCCCTCCCCTGCCCACCTCCACCTGTCCTTCCAAGTCGGGGACCCTGGGCCTCCACCTTCTGGGGGGGGCAGTTTCTCCACCAGAAGTCACGCAGCTGAGGGCTCCTTGGAGCTTTACCTCCCTCTGACTTATTTGGGCACCTTTCACCCTGCCTCCGGATTTGAGGAGAGCATTCCCCAGCCTTTGTAAGCTGCAGCCATTGGGAGAAGGATGCCAACATCCTCCAACCCTCACCCAACAGCCGGACTAGGAGACCACCAGGCAGGGACGTGGGGGGCTGGGGTGTCATAACTTCACCCAACAGCCGGACTAGGAGACCACCAGGCAGGGACGTGGGGAGCCGAGATGTTCACTCTGAGCTTCGGGCTCCCTGCGCCCATGACCTCAGTGGCCCAGGTCAGGTAGCCAGACCCACAACGATTGGCCCAGGGCCGGCCCTGCTCTGCCAGCCGCAGCATGTTCCAAAGCCCGGTCCGGTTTTTACACTTTTTTCTCTTGCATAGACTTTTCTTCATTTCATGTAAGCCAAAGTGTTTGTCAAGAGAAAGTTAATTAAACTCATATTTTTCTAATTAAATGGTAGGTTGTGCTATGCAAACAGTGAGATTCTTGTTTGAAAGCAAATCCCTCCCCGTTTCCAGGGTGACCCCAGGGACTCAGTAGAACAGCAGTGCAGAGCACAGCACACGCACTGAACCAGCCCCGGGAGGCCCCCTGCAGCTGGCCGCCTCGGAGCCAGTGCGGCGACTCGGGCAGAGGGCCTGGCGCCCGCCCAGCCTCACCCCCACCCTGCCCACGCCCACATGGAGAGGCCGCTGGGCTGCTGTCCTGGGACATGAGCCAGGCTCCCAGACTCGATGGCTGGGAGGGGCTGATGTCCTCAGACTCTGCCAGTGCCCCCTCCCTGCACCCACACACATCCCATCCAAGAGCACCCCTGCATCCAAACACGTCCCATCCAACAGCCAGCCCCCTTTTCCTTCCCAGGGCCAGCCTCTCGCACACTGTCTCTTTCTCTGCCAGACAACTCCAGGGCCAAGATGACCATCAGTCCCACATTCTGGAAAAGTCCACAGAACTGCTCACCTCCTGGGCACAAGACTGGAGGCTGGCAGGGCACACAGTTCTGGGCCCCACAGAAAGATGTCAAGCCTCAGATCTGTCTGAACCTCTGAGGTTCATGGAGAAAGATTGCAGGTGTCAATTCAATGCTTTGTGTGGATCAGATTTAGGTGTTAAGACTGTATCAACTTCATAAAAGGAACAGTGAGCTTCCCAGCATTGTCCATCACTCAGTGGGTCTGCACACCAGGCACCACATACCTTGATCTAACTTGTCAACCCTCTGCTCCTCTTAACCTGTTAAATAGACCAAAAACCAAGCCATGGCCCTCTCATAGGTTCTGATTCCCAGAGCCTCTCATGACAGCAGAAGCTGCTCCCACCTTCCTGTGATCTTGATAGAAGCAAAGTGCAGAGTGGGCATCCACGATGCCCACGGGTGGATTCAGCTGCCAGCCTTGGGGTGCACCTGGGGCCTGTGTGTCAGAGCAGGTGTCATCTGCCCATCAGCCCCCTTTATGTTCATGCTGGAGTTTCTCACCTCTTCTGGGCTCAGTTCTTGTCCCTGCACAGTCATCCATCTGACGTTCAGATGCACTTCCTCACATCACCTTTGTCTCATGTCTATGAAGTGATGGTTATTTCTGTCCTTAATGTTGTAGATTTTTGTTTATTTTTCCTGACATTTGCCAACCGTTCATTTTTTTTCTTTTTTATTTAAGAATTCCTGTCTAACCTTTCTCTTCTTGTTGTCCGGCTTAGTCACTAGTTTTTATTCCCCTAGTGTCTTCTCCATACACCCCTGGCAGCTCCATGGGTAAGTGCTTGGCTAAAAATGGGAAGCTTTTCAACCCCACCAGCTGCCCCCCAGGAGGACCAGGCAGCAGTTCACTGGAGTGATAAGCCTACAGCCATTAAGTCGAGTCCAGCTCGGAGTGACCCTCCATCAGGTCCAAGGCACATCTGTACTGGAGGACACTGACCTTTCTCCTGTGGAGCAGCTGGTGAATTCGAACTGTAGACTTCAGAGTTGACAGCCCATCATGCCACCCACTATACTACATGATCCACCCTGCAGGATGTTCTGCTCTGCCTGCACGCCCGCTGAGTCAGTTTCCACTCTAGAGCAACAGTTTTGGTTTGGCAATATCTTCTTTCGTTGTGATCTTTCCAATTTCTTAAAAGGATCCTCTAGTCCCTTTGAGTGTGGGCATCCTCACACAGCAGAGCGTGTGCCATGGCTTTGATGCCCCACAGGCTTCTGATAGCTCTTTTTCATTCCAGCGATTGTCTCTTTGCTCCTGCTTCTGTGGTTTTAAGTCCAGGCTTACTAGAAAGAACCGGGCATCCTTGTAGTGTTTTGTTGCCCATGGCAGCCTCTCTGGTGGAAGGCGAGACTCTAATTACTCCTTCTGACTGCCTCCTGGATGGATCTGTGTTTGCGTTACTGGTTGTCTGTTGTTTGCTTTCTTGGTTTGATTTCCTCTGTTTGTTTGTGGTGTGTTTGTGAAGACAAACAGATTGTAGCGTTTACAAGGAAATGTAGAGCCTTGTGATTTTTCCAAGCAATTCTTGTAAAGGTCAGTAAAATGAACTCTAAAGAAGAGTCCATCAAAACAAGAGGGGTGGACATAAGAGTGGATGGAGACAAGAGGGATCCCAGGGGTTGGAGGTGGCCCAGCACCTCAGCTCCTGTCC